CGTCTCAAAAAAAAAAAAAAAAAAAAAATTATTTTACACAATTGTAAAGCTACTGAAATAGAAGAAGTTAAACTGCACATCCTCACATATCCTCTGGCACTTCTGATATTTTGAAGAAGACAGGTGACCTAAGACCTTCAGAACAAGCTGATGATCTCAAATCATGAAAAGCTTCCACACAAGACATTGGACCAGAATCCTCCTCCATATCCTCGTCCTACACATTATTCTTTTGCTTATAAACAGTCTTCTCATATTCTGCAGATCTGGCTGTTGTCCACCCATGTTGGAGTCTTGTCTTGTTTCTTACTCATCAGTTGTGTAGTTGCTATTTAGAGCAAGTCTTCAGACTCCGTGTTTAGGCCTGACTGCTGACCACTTAAGGCTCTTTCCTCCATCATCTTTTTTTTTTTTTTTTTTTAAGCATACAAGGAAAATCTAGTTAGAAATCACAGGAGCTCCCTCATGTGATGCCAATTTGACCTTGAAACCCCACAGAACCCTTCCTGCAAGTAGGATGCTCTCCCCAGCCCCCTACCAAACCGTGATAAAAAACCCTGAGCTGGTTTCCTTCCCTGCTCTATCAAGCCACTTTGGACCTTCATGAGAGACCTGCCCTGCTCTCAGCAGACTCCTCAAGGATGCCGGTAACTAACATTTCCATACTCACTTGGTGTGAGTGTGTAGCATTACCAGACTCAACATCCACAGAAAATTTTAGTCGAGATCTCTGCATTTGCATGGTGTCAGTTACACAACGGATGCTGGGAGCTTGGTGTCACGGCAACTTCCCAAGGACATGCCTGCTGCCTGAGTTAACTCCAGAACACAGTTGGATGTGCCTCCTGGGGTTTGAGAAGCTCCCTTCATGTACTGAAATCCTGTCGTTATGTTTTTGTATTCTAGTGTTTCCCTAAAATTATAGCGAGATCCAGGATTCATTCATGTGTATATTCAGGACTCTGATTTTTATGTATTTTATTCATCTCTCTCTCTACCACTCTTTCTACCAAATTATACATTTTAAAAGTTGCAATATTTTAATGAGGTGAAATTAGCAAATAAGAATCTTTACATAAAGTGTACAATTTTATAAATATTGACATAATCCTCACTTTTCCTAACAGAGAAAAAATAAATTATCCTAGAAATTTCCTTTTGCTCTCCTGTAGTTTCTCCTTTCTACACCTTTCTTTCTTGTACCATGTCCACAATCAACTACAGATCTTTTTATGTAACTTTAAGTTCATTTTTACTTTATAGAAATTATAGAAGTGGAATCGTACATATGCGCTTGTATTTTTTTGCCTTATTTTTCTCATTCAGGTACTTGTTACTTTAAGCATGGTGTTGAGTGTATCCGGCACTACTTGATTGTAACAGTGGGTATTATTCCAGTAAATGAATTTGCCACAATTTGTTTTCCAGTTAAGCTGCTGACTAACACTTGGATCGCTTTTGGTCTCTGAGTATAATAAACAAAGATGCTACTTAGCTTAAAGAAGTACCCAGCTGAGAAACACATGGTTCTTATTTTTACATAACATGAATAGCAGGCAAAGCAGAAAAGCTGCGCATTAATCAGTGTGCTTCAATACATCAGATAATTAAAGTTGGGGAGCTCTGTGCATGTGTCAGTTCATGTGTTTTTGTGTGAAAGAGAGAATGGAGGAGAGACCAAGAAAAAAGAGACCCCACATGTTTGGACCATAATGTATGAGGTACTCAAGTAAATACAGGGACTTGGTGCCTGATGGACAAGGTCCACATAAGATGGAGAGGACAACTTGATGCGCCTCCATATGGGTATATATTAGTATTTATATAAATGCCATTTTCTAGTCATATAAACACTCAGACACATTAGAAAAGATGTAGTGGAGGGGTCTGGTGGTGAAATATGATGGTGAAAACAACCCACATCTACAGCCCCTTTTCTGCCCTGTTGCACCTGCCCCAATGCTGAGCCTTGATCCTGCTCATCCTGACCCCCTGGACAATCATCCTAAGCCCCCGTACTGCCCGAGTGCCCCCTGCTGGTCCTATGCACCCCTGCAGGGAGGTTTGTGTCTAGGCTCACAACGAAGTCCGCTCATTGCTTCTTTTGCTTAAAAATGCATACTTGTGTATTCAGTAGACAAAAGCTCAGCTGTAAGAATTGGTTCTTGGATGTGGATATGGACTCTTGAGAAGTGGGTTGTAATTTGTGCTCCCTTCACAACCCATGAACCTGATCCACTCCTGTCCATCTTCTAGGGGCAGATACAATTCTAGCCGGAAGCACTGGTTATGATGGGGAATCCAGAGACAGTGCAGGTGAGGGAGAGGGTCTGTGAGGATGTCTCAAGCCAGAAGTGTGCTGAGAAACACAGTTGTTGATGTTAACGGGTTCTGGACAACACGATGAAATTCCCAAATACACACATTTTTATGAGAATAAAGA